TGACCCGAAGTGTGAAGTGAAGGTGAGAGTACGCGTTCAGCTGGAGCTCGGACCCACTTGCGAGGCTTGGCATCTCCTGACTACATTAACTACATCTCGTCCTGCTGGAGCACGAACGACCATCTCAATCCCACACAGCACTGGCACACCTCCCTACAGCAACCAGCAAGCGCCTAACTCTCTGCATATACACAAGCATTTCATTCCAGACGCTTGAGCAGCTCCGACGAGGATAGCGCCCGGTAGATGGGATGAAATCCGCAAGTCCTACATGCAGTCAAATCTGAGGCCAGCATATCGAAGCCAGCACATCGAAGTCAGCAGCATGGCCCTGATTGCTTGACTTGAGACACCTTCAACTGACGAAATAGCGCCTGGCGTACTCACTAGCACAACTTGGGCGAGAGAGAGAAGACAGGCGAAGGTGGGAAGTGCTTCGAGAGAGGCGATGGAATGGAGCAATCTGATGGTCTATGCGTCTTCTGTGACAATGCGAACGATCCGGAGATGGACGGCTGAGACATTACCGGATCTCGCGCCTTTCGAGTGAAATCTTGACCTGCACTCTACTTCACGAGTTGAGGATGGGCGCTGAGCTTGTGGGGACGATTGCTACATTGCACTTTGCGCTGGAGTTCTTTAATGCAATGATTGGCATCGCCGAAATGGAGCGCAAACTGCCGCAGAAGTAAGTCTATTCAACCTTCTTTTCACCGCTTCTGCCTCTCTCTCCCTCGGAGTCATCTGCTTTGAAAGCCTCCCATTTCCAGTGGTCTGCTTGAATAAGGTGTCTCATCTCGAAGTCATAAACTACATTTCCCGTCCCTTTCACGCTTTGGGGGCAGCTGTCACATTCATGGCAACCTTCACATGCACTTCCACAGTCACACGCACTGCTCACTGCATGTGACTGAGCTTTCCTCGAGGCCACAGTGGCATATGCTTTGCTCCGCAATCGTGCTAGCAGCAATATTTGGACACACACCACACAAAGCTATCTCGCTACAAGCGCAAGCATTACCAGAATATACACATAACAACCAGCATTACGCACACTTCAGCAATCCTACTACGGAATCGAGAGTAGTATCAAGATGGGTAAATCATGTCCTCGCACTGATATGACTCGAGGCTGACTCCGAATAGCTTTGATTGTCAAGATCTTCTCGATCATCCTAGTCGCTCTGGCCTATCTCACCACGACCGTCTCAGCCTGGTCAGTCGCGGTCCACAACACCACTGACTGCAGTGACTTCTTTGACGAGACTTCCGGGCAAGATATTCCTGTCAGCTATTTCGCCTACAGCAACCTGCATAGCCAAGTCTCATCAAGCGCTTGCTTCGCGCTTGGCCGCTACGAAGAATCGGATGACTGTGCCTACTCCAAAGACGGAGGACGTACCTTTACGGACTGCAAGGACATGATTGACATCTTCTCTCGAGACTTCGTCGACTCACATACCTTGTCCTTCGGCTTTCCTTGCGACACGAAATGCAACGTCTATTATGGCAATGATCAGTGCGTAACGAATCCTGAGAGCTGTGAGGCCGGAAAATGCCTGGACTTGTCTGATCTGATTATGGATGATAAACTTCCCATCTCGTTCCAATGCTTTGATCAGGAGGACAAGGCGAAGATCGAGGAGTGCAGGAAGTCGGCAACTGGGCCAAGGGCAAATTTCTGGGCCGGAGTTGGCTTCCGAGACGGGGAAAAGGGATAGCAAGGAGCGCATTCACCAAGGTTCTGTGATGGGTTTACATTTACGAAGCAACGACTGCACTGATTTCGTGGCGCATTTGGGGAGGGACTTCGCTAGGTTTTTCTTTTGTTTACTCCTAGCTTTGAAATCATTGAATATATGACTTTCACTATCGTAAGTACAGGATTCATGATCGTAGTCTCATCCTCCGCTGAACGTGAAGCTGATCGCCAATGCAGCTGTCATCACAGGCACAAAGTGAAGGAAGCGAGTGAACGCACGGACTTTGGACGCCGCAGCTGGTGAACGCATGAACGCATGTGACAGACGCTAGTCACTAGCGCCGTTTCGATCACTGCGGAAACCTATTTAAGAGCCTCTACTTCGCGTCAACTTCAACCTCAAACACACACACCTCCGACAAGAACAACCTCAACCACCTTCGACCTCCAACCACTTTGCATAGCACCCATCTACAACACCCTCGACAACCTCAATACACCCTTCAACACCTATACAAGCATCACTGAGCCTTTCCGACAAGATGTTCTCAGTCAAGACCATCACCGCCCTCATCGCCTCCGCCGCCCTCATCGCACCAGCTGCAGCCTGGCAGGCGACCATCTACAACAATGGCGACTGCTCGCACGGCGGCGCCAACTACTTCGTCTACAGCGGCGCTGGACAGTCGCAGTGCATGACTGTCGGCTTCGCTGACGGCGCTGACTGCTCCTACCACGCCAACGGCGGCACTTCTCAGAGCGAATGTGGCGCGACCACATACACCACCTGGCTCCACGAGTTCTACGGCCCGGAGCGCGTCTCTATCTTCGTGCCTTCTGGGACCGAGTTGACCCACTGTGTCACCATCGGTACCAACACCTGCCAGACCAACAACGGCCCCAACTGCCGCACGTTCAAGGGCGACGCCGACGGTACCTGCATGCAGTTGAACGAGGGTACTTTCGACGCTTTCAACACCCTCCAGATGACGGCTGTCGACCTTTAAGTAAGTCAATTCACAATTTGACCTCGTGGTAATTTATCTAACCCTCTGACTTTCAGCTTCAGCCAGGGCAAGGCCAAGAAGTCTTTCAAGGCTTAGATGTGCTCGACCTGAACGACACCACCAATGACTACGCGCACCGAGACCAAACCAAGCATGAAGCTGCCAAGAACGAGCAGCGATGAGCATGAGTTACGAATACGAAAGGCATGATCAATGACCATGGAAGTTTGAGATACCCGAAAACGCTGCATCAGCAAGCGAGAGCATGAGCGATGTTTGATTCTTGACTTTTTTGATTTTTGCTTTGCATTACCACGACGCCTCGACTTCTCCGCGAAAGCTGCCACCGCGGTAGTAGCACGATTACAGAAGCGCAGGATACGAATAGAAAATGAAAATGTTTGGTCTCGAAAATCTTCATGTGTTTCTCTTATTTCGTCACTTCCCTCGAGTTCAATTCTTGACTTTTGAGGTGAGGACGTGTTGTTCGGTACCTGGTAAGTTTTGTGTTTGAGAGTTCGCACGTCGTGAGAAGACTCGATCGATAGGCGCGGAGAAATTGTGAAGATCTCGTCGTTTTTTTTTCTGCTACAGTGTACAAAACAGAGTGGCAAGTTGTAGTCAGCATGTCAAGTGTCGTCGTGCGACTTCTGGTATTATTGGCTGGTAGCCGTGGACACTTTTCTCCGGCTCAGAACCAGACACAGACAAGTTGTTAGGAACAACAGTATACTCTTTGACTCTGGCACTGAGGCTGCTGCGTGAAGCTATCACGAAAGACGACGAAGGCACCACAACATAGGCACGATGTAAGCAAGGCACTGGAGGACAATGAGCACAACATGATGACACATCCACGAAACAAAAGAGAAGGGAAGACAGCGACACGTCTGGACAAACGAAATGCATTCCCCATTGTAGTAAGCGCCCATTAGATTATCAAAATTACCGACATAGAAGTCCCCAAAAAGGTCATCCGCGGGAAAGAGAGAGATTCGTAGCCAGTCTTTCAGCAGAACGGCCATGATGTCTCTGTCCAAGCCGAGCGAGAGCTCTCTGAGGCGGGTTAATAAAGTTCTATGCCTGCTGCCACCTGTTTCTTTTGCATCATCAGTGGAGTAGAAATAAGAAGCGCCGTGCTCATACATCACAGCTTCTTCTTGAATTGGTTGTTTGTTGTTGTTAATGAATCCTCGACGCCAACAATATGCCCTGATGTCGGAATCGTCATGCGTTGCCTGCGTGCGCGTTTTACTACCCCAAGAGGCCTCCAAGACCTCCAGCCGCGCCTCCTAGACCGGGCAACCCTGGCAGAGGGCTGGAGGATTTACCACCAGCGGATCCGCCAGCGTTGTTGAGGCCTGGAAGTGGGAGTGGGAGGTTGCCAAGGGGACCGTGGCCTGGGGCGCCGACCTTGCCTCTGTGGATGAGATTTAGCCAAACTGCTTCACATCAGAGCGGACATAGCGGAAATATCACTTACCCGGGGAAGCCAGCAGGAAGTGGGACACCTAGAGCGCTGGCGGGAACGGGACCCTTGCTTGTACCTCCGGCTGCGAGTAGGTCAGCATAGATTGGCGAGGTTGGAAAGGCACAGATGTTTACCATATGGGTTGGTACGTGGTGTACCATATGATGGGTCGCTGGATCCATATCCCCATGTGCTGGAGGATCCCGAACCTCCCCACGAAGATCCCGAGCCTCCCCAAGAAGATCCCGAACCTCCCCACGAGCTGGAAAGGATGTCAGTCAGGGCGAACATCTTAAGCAGTATACAGCGCGAGTAGCTCACCTGCCAGCGGTGTTATACGATGGCGCAGATCCACCTCCGTATGAGCCTGCTGATGCTAAAGTGGAGTTAGTTACTGAAAGCATGTCGTGTGTGCGAAGTACTTACGTGCACCGTAGGACAGAACTGGCGCTGGTGGAGTCGATGGGCCTGAGGAACATGTCAGAAGATCGGCCGAAAGGTTCTCAAGAGACACTAACCGTATGTCGTTGGCTGAACAGGCTGGGCTGGGGGAGGCGATGGGCCTGAGGAACATGTCAGAAGATCGGCCGAAAGGTTCTCGAGAGGGGAGACACTAACCGTATGTCGTTGGCTGAACGGGCTCCGCTGGGGGAGGCGATGGGCCTGAGGAACATGTCAGAAGGTCGGCCGAAAGGTTCTCGAGAGGGGAGACACTAACCGTATGTCGTAGGCTGAACGGGCTCCGCTGGGGGAGGCGATGGGCCTGAGGAACATGTCAGAAGATCGACCAAAAGGTTCTCGAGAGGGGAGACACTAACCGTATGTCGTAGGCTGAACTGGCTCGGCTGGGGGAGGCGATGGGCCTGAGGAACAGGTTAGAAGATCGGCCCAAGGTTCTCGAGAGGGGAGACACTAACCGTATGTCGTTGGATGAACGGGCTGAACTGGCTCAGCTGGGGGAGGCGAGGGCGGTGATCCATAGGACAACACTGGCTCTGGTGGAGGAGAGGATGCTGGAGGGTTGACAGGGTATGACGGAGGCGGTGCGCCTGAAGAACATGTTAGAAGATCGGCTAAAAGGTTCTCGAGAGCGGAGACACCAACCGTATGTCGTTGGCTGAACGGGCTCGGGAGGCGTGGAGGGCGGAGATCCATAGGACAACACTGGCTCTGGTGGAGGGGAGGATGCTGGAGGGTTGACAGGGTATGACGGAGGTGGTGATTCATCTCCATAAGTTTTCGGCTGCGAAGGCCACACAGGCGAGGAAGGTGGTGAGCCTATCCAAGTCAGCACACGTTTCTTGCAAGACAGAGGGTGTTGCAATCGCAAAATGGAATAGAAAAGTAGTAACATACCGTAGGTAGCTGGGGTTGGAGGAGTTGGCACTGGCAAGTCGGGGTAAGACGGAGGTGGTGATGGATTCCCATATGTCACTGGAGCTTTGTAGAAACGTGTCAGCTGAAATGGCATTATACAATCAACAACGTCGGATCGTGCACGAATCGACTTACCGGGCTTGACAGGTGAGGAAGGCGGTGAGCCTGATACCAATGTTAGAATTTCGATGGGTCCATCTTCTCGATAGACACGCAACACTGACCGTAACTCGGTGGGCTTGATGGAGGCGCTCCGTAGGAATCTTGCAGCGGTCAGTGTGAAGCCAAAGCCATGGGCATGGCGTGCAGCATACCTGTGGCTGGTGCAAGCGGCGTGTTCATGGCATCTTTCGAGGCTTGGGCAGCTGGGTTTGACGCACCCTCCGGGAGGGAGTCCATGGCGTTGTCAGAAGCTTGGTCATCTTGCTTTGGCGAATCCCCGGCCATTGGCATGTTCATAGCATCATTCGAGGCTTGGGCAGCTGGGTTGGCAGAAGCACTTGTCAGAGTGTCAGTTGAGCATAATCTAATAACAGCGGTTCTGGGGCAGCTCACAGGTCAGCGTCTGCCTGGGAGCTCAGGGAAGCACCGTCGTTCCCGTTGTCGAGGGAAACATCATTGGCACCGGCTGTAAAATCACGGTCAGCGAAGTTCTTCAAATTAGTCGCACGCTGCGCATCAGCTCAATCCGGACAAGCATCGGCAGGACTTGAAAGAGCAGAACCCGAGTCAGGTGGTTTGAAATCAGGAGCAGGCTTGGAAATAGCCTCCTCAGCAATGCTTGAATCAGGAGCATGCGTGGACACAGCATCCTGAGTCGCACTGTTAGAGGCCTCCATGTACCCCTGACTAGTCGTGTCGATGGCAGCAGCATGTGCTGATGGGGTTTCCGAGCTTCCAGACGAAGGAATACCGTGCTGCCAGACATCGCTTCGCCGCAGCCCTAGCAGCCTGATTTGCCGTAATGCCGGAAGTTGCACTCAGTGAAGGCCCCTTCTTCACTCTTCGCATGGCCATCTCACCAAGTGCTTCTTTGGCCACTGCAGCTGTCAGAGTTTCCGACTTCGAGATCTGATCAGAGCGGTTGGACACGTCTCCGAGCGGCCCCTTTGGAGTTCTCCATCGTCGAACCGATTGTCGGTAGTCCGTGTCGACGCTCTTCTCATCTCCAATGGGTCTCACATGCTTAGAGGCACCCTCTAGTCGATGCATCGTGAGAGGGAGATGTCACCCCAAGCTTCGTCGACGTTGCCGAATGGTTTCAAGTCTTTGAAACCAGGGAAGTTGGCCACTGGAGAGACGCATCCAACCACATCCTGAGCAACAAGCCTTACAGCCACTGCCTTCCCACCCTGCGTGCTCACCACCGCAGACAAGATACACCGTCATGGCGTACATAGCCTGGGTCGTCATGAAGTAGCGCTGATACCAGGCTGGCCAGTTCTGCTCGGATAAGGCCCCTTCGCCGCTGCCGATACTTGTGAGGGAATGAGTAACTCGGAGAGACCTACATAGGCCATCCACGCCGGAGCCATCTCGCTTGCCCTGAGGTAGAGCAGCCGCCAAAGCGGCGAAGCACAAAACTGAATGAGCGACTGATCGGACCTTCATGATTGCCGAGGAGGGGGTGTATTAACGAGTGGACGTACGAAACGAGTGTAAGAAAGAGTGTGTCCGCGCGTGCGTGCGGCTGTACGTGCAGGACCAAGCAGTTCTGAAAGGAGGATCCGTCTATATACCGCCGAGAGGAAATGGGACTGCCCAATGCGCGACAGGGCTCCTTTCTCCCGTCACCTCATCATGCTGGAGACATGGTCGGTGAAATTACATGTAATTCAAAGCTTGACAAGCACATCGTTCGCGTGCAAAGCCCTGGGTTGTCCACATCACTTACTCGCAAATCGGACCTGATGTACCGACGCGAGCTGCTGGCCAATTGCTGCACAGCGGAAGTGTGTTCATGGGTGGTTCAGCCTCCAGGAACGCGCTCGCCCTGTTGGCAATACAATCAACCTGGGGTGCGTGGTCGTGGAGATTGTCCTTTCCAGGGCCTCGAAAGGAGTCTTACGAGGCTCGTATTCTATTCAATGGATCATTGTGCAACACCATCTCAGCAGCTGGTGCCGCTTCTCCCCATCGGCATAACTCGCGTAGATTTGGCGTCGTCGTTCACAGTCCAGATGTGCTTGATAAATATGAGTTAGCGGATGATCGTCGAGTGTCCGCGAGTAGAGTCTTGGTGGACAGCGCTTGGTCTGTGAGCAGGGTGAAGCATGATCAAAGTTTGCGAGGCCCCAGGCTGTCAAATCTCTCGTTTCCAGGGACATCGTTGATGAAGCAGGCATAAGCAACCTTCTTGATCATTCTTGAAGCTGCGCGCACTCCATCACGCAACCTGCAAACGGCCTCGCGTGCTTCACACAGGATTGTGATCACCTGCGGGAACAGAATCGGCGACGACTGTTGACGACCAACCCTTCACACAGCGAGAATATTAATGTCTGCGACAGAGCAGCAACATCTGCCGCAGCGTGCATCGACGGACGTCTATCAGAGTTCCCGCCCGAGAGCCTGTTCCTGGTCGTTGCCGATCGTTCCTTGCATGAGTGGTAGGATTTTTAGATACCAACAAGTGAAGAACTCGCCAACCAGTAGGGAGAGGGCTAGAACGAGCTAGGCACGCCGCTTATTAGTATTGTATATATTGTAGCTACCCGCGGCAGTCGGGTACTATACTATATAGTAATAGGGAGGATACTATAGGAGAGAAATAGAGACCTCTATTCCTTTATTTATTTATTAAAGTATCTTTTCGAGCTTAAGATAGAGTTAAGAGAGGAATATACCGCCGCGGGAAGACTATAAATAGACTCGCCTTCTACTCGTACGCCTTACTATATAGGCAATATAGCCCTACGCCCTAAAACCTTTCTTCTAGTAATAAAAATACTAGTAGTAGCGAACTAGAAAGAAATCGAGATAGGTATTTACTATATCTAAGATAGATAATCTTAAAGAAGAAAGTACCCTCTAAAGGCGTATAGGGGAAGCCTTACTAGAGAAGCTATACTCTACTATATACTAAATTATCGCGTCTACCGCCTAAGTAGTAGATTATAATATAATCTACTTCTTCTACTAAATAGATAGTCCTAGACTCGATAGCTCTTCCTAGTCTATAATTACTAAATAAATACTAATAAAAGAACCGAAACCTTAGTAGAAGGCATCTATATAATATATAGCCCTAGGTCTTTTTAGCTACCTACCTTCTAGTTAAGAACTAGTTACTCCTTTATATTACTCCTTACTTAGTTAACTACTCTTCTATAATAAGGTTATTCTTTTTATAACTATCGCTCTCTTAAGTTTTACCTCCGCTATAGAGAATATAAACGGATTTACGATAAGGGTAGTAGAGCCTTATATATTACTAATATATAAAAAGTTTAGAATTCTTAGAGTAGTAACTTCTATTTATTCTTCGGATTATATCTAGTAGGTTTCTAAAGAACTAATTCTAGAAGCTAGGTAGGCTATCCTCTCTAATAGATAGCTCCTCGAAAGTACCGATAGATAGCCCTCCGAAAGCGCTAATAGATAGCCCTCCGAAAGTACCTATAGATAGCCTACTAAAAGTCCCGATAGGTAGCCTACCTAGCTTACTAAAAGAGACGCCTAGCTTACCTAAATCTCTATCTAGCGTACTAGGCCTACTAGGCTTACTAAGATCTCTAGGCTTGCTAGCCTTACTAGGCTTACTAGGCCTACTAGGCTTACTAGGCCTACTAGGCTTACTAGGTATTATAGGTAAGCAACGCGTACGTAGATACTAGATATAAGACTTAATAGGTTCGATAAAGAGCTAAGTCTATCTACGTAAATCCGAATAGTTTTATATAGTACGCTAAGCGCTAAGTAGTAGGTTAGAGTCGCGTAGGCCGAATACCTAAGGCTAGCGCTTTCTACCTAGGGCGTAGCCCTTTATATTACCCCCGTCCTCCTCCTCTTCCTTAGCGGGGATAGAAAGCCCTCCGTAGTTTCTATCGCTATTACTTTATCCGTTAGATCTGTACCTATCTAAGCTTCCCTAGAGTAATACGCTCGTAGTTTCCTCCTTTACGATCGGGGTTTCTACTACTTTCCGGTCGGGGTTGCCGTACCTAGGGTTTTAACGACTATAACTTTCTTCGCGACTACTAAACCGCGCTCTTTTACCTACTTACCGCCTTCTAGAACGCGCCGTAACTGCGCTTTTAAACGCTTTACTTATAATCGCGCTTTCTCTTACTTTCGCGACCTTTACTTCGGCGTCGCTTTCTAGGAGTATTAATATTTCCCTTTTCTTCTTCTTCTTCTTCTTTTCTTTATATATACCCCTACTACTACTACTACTACTACTAATACCGTAAGTCCCTCCCCTTCTTCCTTAGTTCCCTTCGTAAAATTAACTTATCCTAGATAGCTCGTCGAATTTACTATATTAGTTACTACAACTCCGGCGAAGACTACGCCGACTAATCTATAAGGTTCCCGTCCGATTTGTCGTAGGGTCCGCTAACTGTTCTTAAGCCCGCTAGCTCGAGGGCTTGCGCTAATTGCGCTTATAAGAGAATTACTTACGCCCTACTATAAGTTATCGCGATTCCTATACCGAATCTCTCGCTAACTATTTAGTCCTTAAATAGCCTACTATTAGGACTAAAGAGGTTATACGTAATTAGTATATAACCGGGCTCGAGTAAAGCTAGGGTCTTAATGCCTTAGGCAGGGCTTAGCGCTTAGCAATAGGCTAACTTACCTACCTTCCTCCCTCTCCTCCTAGCTCCTTATCGAATACTACCTATACCTACTACTACCCTATCTACCTGCTAATATAACCCTTCTTATATAGTATTCGATCTACCCTTTAAGGGCAGCAGCTAGATAGTCCTTATTTCAAGCTTTTAGCGGTATAGCTACAAATAAGACTAATCTAACTATATTGCGCCCGAAGAACGGGACCTATACGTACTATTCTATCGAAACAACCGTACTAATTATTAAGCAAGGCCTTCTATACGGCCTATTATACTAAGTTAAGCATACTAGACCGATATCTACTAATTCCGCTATATCCGCATCTTAGGGGCTAATAATATATTATTAGTGTTACCTTTTATAATAGCTAGCTTATTACGAAATAATAACCGTGCTACCGCTAGCAGCGCTAGTAACGACAACGCTAGTAGCACAGTGCCTACTAAAGTGCCTACTAAAGCGCCTACTAAAGTGCCTCCTACTAAGGTACCTACTAAAGAGCCTACTAGAGGGCCTACTAAAGAACCTATAATCGAAGAGGATAACCTATCGTTGCCCGTTAACGACATTCTTAACAATATTGTTAATCGACGATATAGCTAGCTAGCCTTTAGTCCCTAACTAGTAGCGAGACTTTAAGAAGCTACCTAAAACAGGCTTACTGCCTTGCGTTAAGAACAATAGCTAAAGGATAATCTTCTCGAGATTCGCCGCCTCTAGGAATCTCTAACAACTACTACTAAGCTAATAGTAGGACCTTCTTTATAACCTATCTAGAAGAAGGATACTAAACTCAAGGACTGTACCGTATTTAATAGCTCTAGTCGAAAGCAGTATAACGACTATATTCGTAACTGTAAACTCAACTAGCGTAACGTACTAAGAGCGCTACTAGACGACTATTCCTTAGTCGTACACGCTATACAGTATATTAATAGCGACCTAAAGCGTATATAGGATAACTATTTTAACTCCCTTAACGATTAGACCGCTGTTTAGTAGCAGACCTACAAAACTATTATACTAGATACCCTTAGAAACCCTATACTAAGGCAACAATATACTTAGGACCTATATCTTCGAGCTAAATAGAAGACTAATTAATCGGCTCGTTTATTCGAGGCCTATTTAAAGACCCTCGAGGATAACCTTCCGCCTAAGACTAATTCTATATAGATCTTAGAGATACGCCTAAAGCTTAGATAGGAGCTTATTCTCGAATTGGACCGCCGCCGTATGTTTGAACAGGCTAACCTAATACGTATTTAATTTATAGTCCAGGTAGAAACAGCTAAACGAGCTATCTAGCTTTAATAACGACTAGAATCGAGGATCCGGCTAGCTAGTACTAACTATAGCAACCGTAGTAGCCGCGGAGGAAACCAAGGTTCCTACTAGGACAATAATACTAACAATAGGAACAGTAGCGACCGTAGAAGGGGCCGTAGCCGGCGACTATACAGAGGAGGCTATAATAGGGGCCGTAGAAGGGGCTTGTATCCCTATACTACTAACTGCTCTACTAACAGCAACAACAGCTACGGTAGTCTACTAACCGGATTAAAGTGCTTTAATTGTAACAGCACTAGCTATCTACTAGGCTAATGCGACAAACCTAAGGACTAGGCCCGAATTAACTGTGCTTCCGCTAAGTATAGGAAATACCTTTTAGCCGCTAATGCTACCCTAGTCGGCTCTTTTAATTAGTCGAAAAAAGAGTAAGCGCCGTACTAACTATTAGCCTTATGCGGCGTAAAACTATCGACATTATGCTAGCTATTATACGCACCTGTCTTATATAGGACACATATAGAGACAACTATAAGACTAAGGTTATACTAGATCTAGGAAATTCGGTTAGCGCCCTTATTAATTACCGTCTAGCTAAGCAATTAGACCTCCGACAATTGCCTAGAACTAACATACCAACCCTTGCTTAGTTTAATAACGCTCGGCACTTGACCTATAGAGCCTATTATATTCCTATAGTTCTAAAAGACGACCTCGGCAATAAACGCTTACTAGACTTTACTGCCTATATAGTAGATATAGACAACCTCCTATCCGATATTGTTATTAGCAACCCTGTTCTTAAGTACTATGCTATAGTTATAGACTTAGGCAGTTAACAATAGCGATTTAGAATCGCTAGGAGAGAGGACATTAAACACATCGATATTAGCGAGTGTCCTAATAATATTAGGGTCCTGTTTATTAGCAACCTAACCCCCGCCTTAGCTAATCTAACTGCCGACCTACTCGGTAGTAATAACGATAAACCTGTGCCCCCTAATAGTATAGACCCTAATTAGCTTGCTCGTATACTAGAGCCTATTCGAGAGACCTATATTAATGTATTTAAACACTACTTGGCATCGACATTGCCTATATTTAAAGAGACGGATTATAAGATTAACATTATAGAGGGCAAGGAGGTTCCCTTTAGTCCCCTCTACAACCTTAGTAAACGAGAGCTTGCTATATTGCGTAAGTATCTAGAGGAGAACCTAGCTAATAGCCGGATACGGTATAGTAATAGCCCTACTAGCGCCCCTATCCTATTCGTACTAAAGAAGGATAGTAGCCTACGCCTATATATCGACTATCGTAGGCTTAACGCTATTACTATTAAAGACCGCTGTCTACTCCCGCTTATTAACGAGACCCTTAACCGCCTTTCTAGTGCCTACTACTATACTATATTAGACATTAAGGACGCCTATTACCGCATCCGTATTCGCAAAGGCGATAAATAGAAGACAGCCTTCCGCACTCGCTATAGCTATTTCGAGTACTTAGTTATACTATTTAGGCTAGCTAATGCCCCTGCAACATTCTAGTCCTATATTAATCGG